AGATCAGAGATGCACTTGAGCTTAAGAGCTCTGCTTCCCTCCCCCAACTCCGCCTGCAGACACCTCCACCCACTTCAACAAGACGCAGATTTCTCAAAGCCCAGAATGAACGACCTCTGCGGCCACAGGTGTGCCAGGCAGCAGGCTTCACCGGAGTCCCGAGCAGGGCACTGGTCTCTACAGAGTGCCCTGGCAGTGGCCCCAGCAGCCTGCACCGCCGAGCCGAAAGCAGCGCCACGCGCCGGGGTCTGCGCCCTCCTGCCTCACCGGCCGGGCCCCACCCTGACTCAGTGCCTCTCCGAGAGCCACCGTGATCCTGAGAAGTCACCGGATTACGTTATCTGCGACAAGGAATCGATCGCAGCCAGGCAGCCTAATCAACAACCAGACTGCATTCCGCGGGGCTGTCGGCGGACAGCCCGCCATCACTCTTCCTGCCGTCCCCGAGGCACCGCCACCGCATCAGTCAGCCTCGCGGGACGCAGACAGCCCCTCACCCCACCGTTCACGGAAGGGCTTGAAGCCACCAGGAGCTGAGACCGTGTCAACACCAGTGCAGGTTTCTGGGCCCCGCACCTCTTTACACTCATTTCTTTGTTTTTTGTTTTCAATGAATGGTAATACACTTTTTTTTTTTCTTTTTAAATATATTTACGTATTTGGCTGCGCTGGGTCTTAGTTGCGGCAGGCGGGATCTTCGTTGCCCCATGTGGGATCTTTACTTGTGGCATGTGGGATCTAGTTTCCTGACCAGGGATCGAACCCAGGCCCCCTGCATTGGGAGCGAGGAGTCTTAGCCGCTGGACCACCAGGGAAGTCCCCACGTGCATTTCTCAAAAACAAGCTTAGACAAGCCCCGATATTTAATAGTGCTAAAGGTGGGGTTTTCCTATCAATAGTATAAGTAGATTCACAAAGCTCTGAAACTCAGGGCTGCGTCTTTTATCAACCACAGCAAATGTGTTTGACTCTTCAGCCCTGCTGCATGGTTCTGAGAAACCCCAAGTCAGTGCCTAGGATCAGGAAGGTCTGAGCTGACTGTCCCGGCAAGCTGCCCTGCAGCCTCTGGTCTCCAGCCCCCAGGCAGGAGAGAAGCAGCATCCCAGGGTCTCGCTCTCAGAGGTGCAGGCTAAGTAGTGACAGCGACGGGCCACTGGAGTGACGGGAGACAGCTGGAGGCCAAAGAAAATAAATGGGACCTGGTGGCCTGGGAGCAGGTGGGAATCCCTGAGGTTTGTTTCCCTGTTGAGTGCTTCCTTGTCCAAGATCCGCTCTCGTTTTCACAGTATCTAAGCTACACAGGTACATGTTGAACAGAGCCAATCCCATTAGGCTTTACACCAGCAAGACCTCTCGGGAGGGTGAACACCAAGGCCGTCAGGTGGAGCTGCCCACACCCCAAGGATGATATTCCACATGGAACCCCCGGCTCAGGGACACTGAGAAGCCCGCCCGTGTAACCCGCCACCTGCGGCCACGGGCAGTGGCAGATGGAACTGAGCTGTGAGCACAAGAGGCCCCATCCGCCGTCCTGGTCTTTTTTTTTTAATTTAATTTTTGGCCACATTGGGTCGTCGTTGCTGCACGCGAGCTTCTCTAGTTGCAGCGAGCAGGGGCTACTCTTTGTTGCAGTGTGTGGGCTTCTCACTGCAGTGGCTTCTCTTGTTGTGGAGCACAGGCTCTAGGCGCATGGCGTTCAGTAGTTGCAGAGCATGGGCTCAGTAGTTGTGGCTCACGGGCTCTAGGGCACAGGCTCAGTAGTTGTGGCGCATTGGCTTAGTTGCTCCACGGCATGTGGGATCTTCCTGGATCGGGGCTCGAACCCGTGGTCCCCTGCATTGGCAGGCGGATTCTTAACCACTGCGCCATCGGGGAAGTCCCCGCCCTGGTCTTTATACACATCTACAAACCCAAAGTGTGCAGAGAACTCTATCCCTTTAAGGGAACCTTGTGGTGGGTTTTTCAGTGGAATGTTATTATGTTTATCTGCTTATGCTCTGATTCCTGAGGAGCTGATACAGTAAAGTTTTCATTAAACAAATAACCACTCCCCTAAGTGACTTTCAGGGACGCTCCCCCCAGAGGCCTGTTCACAAGTCCAGATGATCACAATGACAAAAGCCAAGGGGGAGCCTGTGGAGAGGGTTCAAGGAGCCAGTGTTCCCTCGTGGCCCATGGGGCCCGTAAGTGATAACCGTCCATTCATCTACAACAGCTCTGAGCCACCTGCTCTAGGCCCTGGGGACAGGCCCTAAACAGAAGGAAAACCATGCCCTCGGAGGTGACATTTTAGAGGGAGAGAATGAGGACCCACAGCAGAGTCTATGTGGCTTCGAGGGGGGAAGTGCTACACTGAACAGTAGCACAGATTAGGCCAGGACGGGGGCCAAGATGCACAGAGACTGAGCCTGCAGGCCCAGGGCAGTGGAGGTAGGTGGGGAGGAGAAGGTGGCGGTGGAAGAGGCCAGCAGGGGCTGGGGCTCCCCTCCTGGACGAGGCAGCCACACTTCCTGCTCTTTCTTTACCTTCCTGGGTCTGTGCTTTGGGGAAGGAAAGGCCTGCTCAGTCTGCAGGCCAGCAGCCTGCCTGCACCCCTGCCTCGCCCACCAGGCACTCACATGGATCAGGAATGAGGAAATCAGGAAGCTGGGACTGTAGCCGGCTGGTCAGCCACTGCGGCTCAGCCTGTCCGGGTCCCTGATCTAAGCTCAGGGTGGGGCACCCCTCCGTCCTCCTCCTGTCTTTGTAGTGCCCTGCAGGGAGGCCCTCCAAGTGAATGAAGCATTGGGGGGAGGGCAATTTGCATTCTGTGGAGACCCCAGGGCGCTCCTGCACTCCTGCTGCACAAGCCCAGTCACAAAACCTCCCTGGGACTAGGGGACGAGCTGGCTGTCCCCACTTGCCCTTAGCAGTCACTCCCGATAGCCTCAGGGCCCCCCTTTCTCCCCCTCCCCGCTGCCCAGTCAGTTCAGTCAGAGCCCCCTTAGGAAGCCATGTGTGCCGGGCCGGACCGACCCCTTTGGAGAGTCACTGGGACTTGTGTTAAGAGGCAGACAGCCCTCTGTAGACCCCACTGTCTAAATCCTGAGGCCCTGCAGCTGAAAAACAAACAGCAGGATGGCGGCGGAGCTGCGGTAGTGGGCGGAGGAGGGGGCTGGCTGGCTGGGTGGGGTCTGAACGGGCTGCCCTGGCCCTCGGACTGCCACTTCTACTGTTTGGCTCGCCGGTCTGTCCACAGCGCTCACGCCGGATTTTAAGCTATGTTCTCCTCCAAACCCAACAGCATCACCTGTCAGCACACAGGGTCCCCAGCTTCCCTGACGCTGGTCTGCACGCAGCACCCTTGCAAACAGGAGGAGAAAGGGTCCCTGCTTCTCCCTGCTTTGCGTTGCTGGGATTGGGCTCAGTGCCCACCCTGCGCCAGGCTCATCGCTCCTCCGTTAGACGACGAGACGGAAGGTCAGGGAGGTGCGGGGCTCGCCCGGGACCAGCCTGTCTGTAGCACCTCGTCCTCTCACTCTGACCTGGCACCAGCACCGATGTGAATTAAGGCTCCAGGCGTGACGTGAGGACGGGCCGGAGACGATCTATCTAGAGCTGCCTCTTTCTGGTGGAGACAGAGGAGGCCGACTTCAGTGAACGATGGATTCTGCAGACCAGGGACCCCAGGCCTCAGGGACCCCTCGTGAGGAAATTCACCCTGGAATAAAGTGACTAAACAACAAGCTCTGTGCTGCGGGCCGAGCCTGGGCACCTCTCCAGAGACCTCACTCGGCAGCCCTGCTGCGCAGAGGTCTCCAAGCCACTCCTCTCCTGGGGCTGCAGACCTGCAGGACAGCAGCCAGCACAGGAGCCCCGCCCCCACAGGAGCCCTGCCCCACCTGGAGCCCATCCCCCAACCGGAGCCCTGCCCCCACAGGAGCCCACCCCCACCTGGAGCCCCGCCCCCCACAGGAGCCCGCCCCCACCTGGAGCCCAGCCCCCATCTGAAGTCCAGCGCCCACAGAAGCCCAGCCCAGGTGCTTCCCGGGCTCTCCCACTTCGCATTCCCATGCTGTATAGGTTACAGCGTGAGTCAGTGACAGAGTAGGGTCTCGTTCAAGCCCTGTGCTTCCTGGCGGCCCCACGGGGACGTGTCACTTCGGCAGCCTCTCCGTGCAGTCAGCCCATCACCACCTCAGAGCCCTGCCTTCACCTGCCCCAGGCACCTGTCCCCACCAGTCCATGGGACACGGAGGCTGGGATGGGGCTGCTGCACAGCAGCTCACCACGTGCCGGAGGCAGGGGCAGCGTCTGGCCAGGTCGCTCCCCTCCTTCTGCACTCTGCAGTGACCGCTCTGCCCCACCTCGTAGCCACTCGGCCTCCCTCCCCCGCTGACCGCACGGCAGTGCTGGGAAAGAACCACCTGCTAGAAAGGGGGACCGGTGGGGAGACTGGCACGGAGCCCCCAGCTGGGCCATCCGCTTGGGACCTTGAAAGCCAGCAGTCAGCTGCATAACAGCCCCAAGACATCCACGTGCTCACCCCCGTGGATGCGCCCCCTCACGTGGCAAAGGGGACTCTGCAGGGGTCTGGAGATGCTGCAGCTGCCCTGGACACTGGGTGGGCCGGACATGGTCACGGGGTCCTCATGTAGAGGGAGATCTGGCCACAGAAGAGGCAGCGGCCACGAGAATACAGAAGCAGAGGTGGGGGTGATGCAGCCACAAGGCAGGGCACACAGGCGCCTGCAGCAGCTGGAAGAGGCAGGAGCAGATTCTGCCCCGCAGCCTCCAGACAGAATCAGGCCTGCGGCACCTGGCCCTTAGCCCCGCGAGCCTCATCTTGGACTTGGCCTTCCAGAACCGAGAGTACACACTTGGGCTGTGCGAAGCCCCAGTGGGGACCCTCTGCTCCAGCAGTAACAGGAAACTCGCCGCTGGGACTCTGCACCCCAGAGAAGGGACCTAGCCCAGGGAGGCCCAGAGCCCGCGACGCCGAGAGCCCGGCCCTGACTCACCAGCTGAGCGCTGAACTCGGGCAGCATCACGCAGGTGGCGCCCACCCAGAGCGGACAAAGCAGCTTGTTGACCACGCCGTGGACATGATGCAGCGGGAGGACGTGGAGGATCACGTCGTCCTTTGTCCAGGCCCATTTGCGGACCAGCCCCGTCACCTGAAAGACAGGAGCACAGCCTCAGAATAGGACGGCGCACACAGCCGGCCGCCCCGGCCGAAAAGGCAGGAGGAGATGGCCGCTGCCCCGCCCTTGACGGCACGGGAGGACATGGTAACAGAATGACCTGGGGTCTGACCGCGGAGCCGTCTGTCCACCACTTACCCTCCTGCTAGAGAACAGGGCCGCATGCAGTCAGGGGCTTCAGCCAGTTTGAAAGGGCCTTTGATTTGGGGTCAAAGGCCTCTGCAGACTCTGGGCGGCTCTCCCGTCAGGCGGCTCCGACAGGCCCTGGGACTCTGGCCTCGCCAGAGTCCAGGCTTGAACCCGGCTGTCTGTCTGAGCCACGTCTATTCTGGTACCACCCTCGCCCCGGCTTAGCCTGAGTCCATGGCGTTGACCTCTGACCTCCCTCTTTGTGGGCCCCAGTCCTGCTGTGTAAGAGTCTTCACTGTGCGTGCAAATGCTTTTTGGAAGCAAGAAGAGTACAAACTGCAGATAGATACAGCGGCCGGGGGGTTTCACAGAAATGGTAACTGAGGCCACGGAACACAAGATAACACCTACGATGTGGCGCACACGAGTTCCTGCTTCTCGTTTCCCAGATCAGCCGCAATTCTAGGTGCTGACGGCACATTCTGGATAATCGCTTTGTGGCTGGTTTCCTTTAAAACCTCAGCGTCACATATAGTGACCCGTTCCATGCTCCACACGCCACGGCTCTAGAGGAGCCCGAGGGGGCCTGTTAACCCCCCGGCACCTGGGCACTGCACCCCCTACACCGCCAGTGGGGCTGCTGGTCACACGGCCCGGGGGTGGGACGGTGAGAGCTGTGACTGGCCCTACAGAATGAACAGAAGGCCGCCTGCCGTGACTGCTGCTGGGACTGGCCTGCGGGGACACAGCAGACACCTCCCGACTATGGTGGCCCCAGAAGCACTCACCACAGCCCTGATGTTCTGATGCGTGCTCAGGACACCCTTGGGTCTCCCCGTGGTCCCGCTGGTGTAGATGATCATGGCGCCCCGGTCTCTCCAGTCCCACTCTGGCAGCCGGCCTTCCCCGGGGTCCTCGGCTGCCCCGTGGTAGACTGCGGGCGGGAGAGGCAGGAGCGGGACCCCCAACTTCTGGACCACTGGGCTCAGGAGCTCCACGTGCTCTGGGCCGGCGAGGACCACAGAGCTGCGCGAGTCCTGGATGAAATACTCCAGCTGGGCCTGGGGGTGCTTCCTGCAGAGGGGGACGGCGATGCCGCCGCTCATCCACGTGGCCCACTGCGCCACCACGAAGGAGACGTCATTGCCGCACAGGAGGGAGACCCTTTCCTCCCGGAGGTCCCCGTCGGCACACCCACGGAGCCGGCAGATCTCCCGAGACAGGCAGAGGCTGCGGGAGTAGAGGTCCTTGTACGTGTGGCTGCCGTGCTGGTCGACGAGGGCGATCCTGTCCCCGAAGCCCAGGGCGCGGCGGAAGCCCAGCGTGCTGCTGTCAGAGCGCACGGCCGGGGCCGTGTGCAGGGTGCTGCGTCCTCTGCACCTCCGGGGGGCTGGCCACCAACATGGCCCAGGCCAGGCCCAGGCCAGGCGCCGGAGGGACATCACCACGCAGGGCAGCATCGCAGCAGCAGACGCCAAGTGCCGGTACCTGGCAGGAAGAGAGGGCACTGTGGTCACTGCCCTGTCCTGCCGGACCCCCACAGTGGCCAGGAGAGGCGGCCTCACTTCCAATCACAGGGGGACATCCCGAGACCGGAAACGCTAACGATCTCACAACACACACCTTTGGAACTTAAATGACCCAAGTTTCAGCTTTTTATTCAATCTCATTGCTTTAAAGGTTTTAAAAACATGCAAGATTCTAAAACAATGAACTAAACTAGGTGAAGCCAAGGAGAAACAAACAGAACTCAATGCACTTCAGGTAAATTCTGAATAACGGTTTTCAAAAACCTGAACCCGGAGAAGTACGAGCCGAGAGAAGTAAGTACCAAGGGCCCTTGAACGGTGCAGTGTGCACGACGCGGGTCCACTTACGCGCGGGTTGTTGTCACTAATCTGCACTGCGGCACTTACACGAGTGTGAATACGGAGGGCGGGGATGTGCAGGAAGGGCCGGCTGTGAAGTTACTCGGATTTTCGTCTGTGGGGTCGCTCCTAACGCCCACCCGACCCCCTCCTGGTTCAAGCGCTGGCTGTGTTCCCTCCCCGCCAGCAGCGGGGCCTGGAGATTCCAGCGAGCGGAACACAGACACTGGGCTCGCTTCTGCTCTGGAACACGTGCCAAGCCATGGACTCTTAGGAACCTGTCTAAAATAGAGCAGAGACGCAAATAGGGCAGGTTCACATGTCTGCAAAGCGTCACTCCGTTTTTTAAGCCAAAACATAACTCTTCCCTCTCTTCCCCTCAGCCTAACTACTAAACAATGACCAAAACAGTCCACCAGGAGGAGGGCTCCCCAGGAAGGCTGTGAGCCACGACCCGCACCTGGAATTCTCCAGCGTGCTCAAGAGGAGGAGGCCTGGGAAAGGGTGGCCGGGCGCACCCCTCCACGCTGCCGCCCCTCCACTCGAGAGGTCAGGAGCCCTCCTGACCCCCGGGACCACGGAAGACGGTTCCTTCCCAGCGCCAGGGCGGCCAGCAAGGTCCACGGGCCACCACCTGCCCTGGCTCGGCGTCCCCACTGCCGTGCCCTCCCCACTGTAGCCTCTGCTGCCTCTGCTCCGCCTGGGCGCTCTCAGCCAGAGCAGCGTCCCTGACGGGGGGCTGATGGATGCACCAGCTCCCCCGGTTGTTCCTGAAGGATTTTTAATGAGTATTATTTGGTAACACACTTAATATATTACGTGTGTTTTCACCTTCGACCACCCTGTTCAATAAGCAAGGCAAGCACTGTTAACCCTATCTCACCCACAAGAAAATTCAAAGTCCCCCCTCCTAAATCACAGCCAGGAGCCCAGCTGGAGCCTTCCCACCCCCAGCCATCGTTCCCCACCAGAGTCACCACGCCAGACGCCCACGGCCACCCTGGCCCACGACAGCACAAGGAAATGGCCTGATGCTGGCTATGCCGTGGTGGGGGGGCGTGTCTCTCCCTGTTACTGGGGCGGGGCCGGGGGCGGTGGGCAGACTTCACAGGGACCCTAGAGGGTACTTCTGAGTGCCAGAGGCTGATGAGGGCGCCTCCAAGGGGCTGTCCAACATCATAAAATACAACTTGTAACCCTCGTTCCCGTTCCAACGGGCCCAGCAAAGCAGGGAAGGTGGGGACTGGTGGGCGGGCAGCCCCGCACTTGCCGCCAGGAGGCTGCTTCTCCCGGGCTCAGTGCCTCCTCTCCCCGACAAGCCTCACTCTTCCGTCTCCTTCATTAACTTGCTACAGGGGAAAACAAATGTGCTATGTTTGTTACATGTACCAAACAGTTTTGTTCTCTGTTGTTAATTTAAAAAACAGACTACACACAACACTTCATAATTACCTAACAAAACAAACAGCCCACAGCAGTCAAGGTCGGGACTGAGCTCTCCTCTGTCCTGAGATCCTCCGCGTGCTGGCTGCCCCGGGTGGCAAGGGCTCTGACACAAGGTCTCCCAGCCTCCCAGCCCAGCAGGCGGAAACCTGGCACCAGGGAGATGCCCGCCTGCCTGACCCTCCTGCCTGCAGGGGCCTCGGCGGCCCCACCTCCTCCCCAGCGGCTGCTCCGAGGTCCTATGGAAACACTCCCAAAAGCTCCAGGCCTCCCCCACCGGTGGGCTCTCCAGTACACGTGGCCCACACCCCTTCCAGATGAAGGAGGCCAGAGTGTCTTGTGACGTCCTGGGCTCTGCCCTCTACACAAGGTTCAGAGGTGGGCTCGCAGTTGGTTTCACACCTCTGGATTTCTGTTACTATAAAGAAACCTGACAAATTGTAAGAAAACAGCTGGGCTTGACCAGAGAAAATAAGAAATGTGATAAACATGTGAGATGTGCCAGTTTCACAAAGAAAATGAGCTAGTGTGGGCTTCCCTGGTGGCGCAGTGGTTGAGAGTCCGCCTGGCAATGCGGGGGACACGGGTTCGTGCCCCGGTCCGGGAAGATCCCACATGCCGTGGAGCAGCCGGGCCCGTGAGCCATGGGCGCTGGGCCCGCGCGTCCGGAGCCTGTGCTCCGCAACGGGAGAGGCCACAACAGTGAGAGGCCCGCGTACCGCAAAAAAAAAAAAGAAGAAAAGAAAAGAAAATGAGCTAGTGAGAAGCAAACCAGGGGCTTTAAGCGCTTCCTCTTCTCACTTCTAGCAAATTCTTTTCTATTTACTTTACAGGCAGGAGAAACTAAAACAAAGAGAATCTATAAACAGAAAACCTACCGCACAACGTCTCTCGGTTACAGCCCGAGGCCTGAGTCTTGTTGGTGACCACGCAAGACAGATGTTCTGGGGTGCCCGCTGAAGTGACAGCATTTTCTGGGGTGTTGAGGAGCACAGCACTCAGGCACTGGGTGCCGTGGAGGACAGACAGACGGACAGCCAGGAGTGGCTGCTGCTCCCACCCCTCTGCCTGGCAGGCCTTACAGGGCTTCACAGGCAGTCACAGCTGCTGCCAGTGAGACCCACCGGCTCAGCCTTCCTCTGTCCAGACACCCCATGAGGGGCCTAGGAAGGGCAAACTTTCTGCCTGCTCCCCCTGGGGCCCCAGGGACTGGACCACACTGAGGGGGGCCAGTCAGAGAGAAGCTGGGGTCTGAGAACTTGAAATGAAAACTGGAAGACAGGCTGACCGCCACTTCCCCTCCCTCCCTGGCCGGGGCTGGGAGGGCTAGCTGACTTCTGACTCCACAGCAGCGAATCCACAGTGGGCTGGGGACGGATCCCGGGGGCAGGCAGTCAGAGCAGCACCTCCAAGGAAAACAGAGAGGTGAAGCCACCTGCCCAAGGCCACAGAGCAACTGGAGAAACAGCATGGAGACCCAGGCCCGGCTGGCTGCAGCACACCGACCCACTCTGAGACACCACAGGTGGTGAGGAAGGCCCTGGGCAGGGAAGGCCAAGTCCGTGCTGGGAGCTGCCCCAAGAGACACCACACATTAACTGGGCGGCACCCCCAGCCTAGTGACGGCTCAGCCGTCCAAAGAGGGCACTCAGCAGTCCCTTCTAGATGCGACATGAAAACAGGAAATGCAAGCCCTCTGTTCCCACGGTTTTGTTTTTTAAATGTATCCTAAGGAAATAATCAGCCATGTACATAAAGGTTCACTGTGGGGTGTTCACTGCAGGGTTATTTCTGATATTGAAAAACTGGGGCTAAGCCGGGTGGTCCGGAAGGTCTGAGGAGGCCAGGGCACACACACGCGTGTGGGGCTGGGCCACGGCCCGACTGCACCAGCCCCCGCAGCGCTGCTCAGGGGAGGGACGTCCCTCCAGAGACAGGAAGGTGAGCCTCCAGGTGGACACGAGGCAGCAGGGCCACAGGTGGCTTTCGTTTTCTTCTTAGCGCTGCTCCATCTGCTCCAGATTTTCTGCAATGAGCACGTACGACTTTTGTAATCAGATTTTAAAAGTCTAATAAATGACATTTATATTTTCAAATGGAGATATTTCAACCTCAGCATTAACATTTTCTTTGGTACAAAAAAGGAAAAGGAAAAAAAATAGAAAAAAAGAGGAAAATATTAAAATTATTTGTTCTGGATGGTGGATCTACAGGGTGTCTGTAATTTTCTGTAGCTCTTTAATGTCTCAAAACGACAGAGGCAAATAAAAATGAGATAGCCTTCTTCTCTCAAGTAAACCTAGTGGTTCACGGAAGGCTCATGGGGACAATGAAGAAGTCCTCACAGAAGCAGCTGGAACGCCCGCTGCGCTGGCCCTCAGAGCACCGCAGGGCTGGCGTCCGGCAGCAGTGACCTGGCCCCAGTGTCCCAGTGCTGGGAGGTGGCAAGACCGCCTGGCTCCGCGTGGGGGCGGGTGTCCCGAGGCAGGGTGGAGCAGGTGGCTGGAGCTCGGGGGACGGGGAGCCTGCCAGGTGACCTGCAGGGAGGGAGGCTCAGGGACACGTAGCTGTGCTCACACGGGGGTGTCTGTGGAACAGACGCTGAGAAGGGGCCCTGCCTGCTCACCACGGAGCCTCACAACCCAAATGACTTTTAATCGGGTAAACACTGCCAGAGTGGCCTCCAGAGAAGCTGCACTAATTTTTTCTCCCACTGAACATGTGGGAACATGGGGCCACCCCTTCAAAACAGCCTTTATGTGCTCCCGAAACCACCCATCATCGAGCCATTCAATACAGAGCTAAAATCTCCAAGGTCAAGGGGAGCAAGGCCCTGCCTTGAACAAGCAGAAAGAACGAGGTCAGGTCAGATGACTGTGTCCTGAGCAGGTCCAGGTGCAGAAAGACCAACAGCTACCTCAGGAAAAGAGGCCACGCCTTCCAACCACCAGCCCCCTTGGCCACGGGGCCCCCCATCACTGCCGGTGGCACAGCCTGGAGTGATGTTGCCACCCAGTAAATGCAATTTGGCCACGGATTTCTCCCTGTCTCGATTAACCAACGTCATGAGGTCAGCATCACCGTGCAGCAATGTGAAAAAATCCCAGCCAAGAACACGGAAACCTGAATTCTGGTGAACCAGACGCCTTCTCCCGGGCAGGCCACGCCGCGCTCAGCTCCCTCCAGGAGGCCAGAGCCCAGGCAGAGACCCAGCAGAAGCCACTCAGTGCTCTGACCATCAGGTTCCCAGGCCAGACCACTTAGGTGCACGGCCCTCTCAGGACACACACCCAACACCGGGAAGATGACATCTGTCACGTCCTAACCGGGGTGCTGGTTGAGAGCACAGATTCTAGAGTCAAAACAGACCCAGACTGGAACATTCACTGGTTTTTCCGAGTTTTCCTCAGCCGTCTAAGCCTTCGGTTCCTGTGAGAACCGCCCAGCACACACAGTGGGAAGCACACGGCCCAGCCATCCTCAGCACCATGCTCACCACGGAGCCATGTGACAAAAATTACTCGATAAGAATGATACTTGCATTCAAATGAAGGCGGCTGGTTTCGAAATGAATCAAATGGCACCTGACGGATCATCACCACCTGCCGCCAACCCTGCCCACTGTCTGCGGACTCGGTGAAGGTGCGCGGCTGGGGAGGGGCCCGCACTCTCCCTCTGTGCTGGACACTTGTTTCAGCATGCTGCCTGCGGTTTGGGGAGCCGTTTTCAAAGTTACGTTTTTAAGTAACAGACATTCACACTGCATTCAAATCAAAAACACCAAAAGGGAAAAACAAACGCTTAAACCCATCTCCATATTAAGACGTAAAATACTATTTTAAAGATGCCATCTGGAGGGATGAAGCTTACAATCTTGGGCCGTGGCTTAATCCACAGATGCCGTCTGCCTTGAAGAGTGGCTCTGGGACATGGGGTGGGGGCACAGTAAGGACTGAGGAAAGCTCGCTAGACTCGCTGGGCTTTCACGTTTCACATCAGAACCTCCGGGGGCCCCCTGAAGCCTGCTGGGGATGTCTGTGTTCCTGGGCCCAGCACCGGTGCCCCCTACCCCCACCTGTCCCTGCCTAGGTCTCCAGACAAACATGCCCCTCTTCGGGATGGAAGCCTACAAACTCCCCAAACACGGGATTCCTGTTCCCACCTCCAATTGTCATCCTTCCCCCTTTTGGCAAACTCCTAATCATCCTTCAAAGCCCCGCTGAGTATCACCTCCTCTTTAGGGCACAAAGCAAACAAAGCAAGTGAGGGGGAGGGGCGTGGTGCTTCAAGGAGGATTCCTGCGGCCCAATGAGGCCGGAAATGGATTTGTTTCCGACAAGGCAGATCAACTTCCCTCCAACTATGGCTGAACGTGGACTTGACTCACTCCTACACCCCGGGGGCCTGGACGTCGCCACCAGCGCCGCGAAGGGAAGGCAGGGTCCCCACTTGACGCAGCCCCTGCGAGGGAGGGGGCGCGGCGGGACGCGGGGTGGAGGAGCGGGGGTGAGGGGTGAGGGGGCGGGCTCTACCTCCGCAGGCCGGACTCGCGCTCCTCCTCCTTGCCGGGTCGGAACCGGAACCGGAACCGCGGCTGCGCGCGCACCCCGCGTCCGGCGCCCAAGCGCGTCCCCCGGCGCGGCACCGCGCCGCGGGTTCCGGGCGCGAACGTTCCCCACGACCGGTCGTCGCGGCCCCGGGGCCCGGGCGGCAGCGTGTTAACCGCTCCCATCCCGAAGCGGGTTGGGAACCGGGCGCCTCAGGTGTTCTAACTCCCTGTTGGGCGGAGCCGGGCACAAGTCCGCTCGGCCGAAACGTGAGATTTCTCTGAAGTAACAAATCAACCACGGACACACGGTTCGGGCCAGCGCGGTTCCCGCCCGCCTCCCGGGGCGCCGCGAGCCGGGCCGAACCCGGGCTGGGCCGCCGCCCCCCCCTCGGTGTCGGCCGTGAACCTCCGGGGGGGCTGAGGACGCGGAGCCCGAGGGAAGAGGGGCCGGAAATCTCCGAGGAGCAGCAAAACGACTGAGATGGAAAAAAGATGAGAAGATCCCTGGGCCCTCCGTTCGGTCCAGGAAGAAAAGTATAATAGTTTCAGGAAGGGACCGCAGACAAGACAGAGGGGGAGAATCATCGAAGAAATTCAAGAAAATCAGAACTTCCCTGTTGCAGTGACTGGCAGGGGCCCACAGCACTTGGCAAACAGCGGGGTTGTTCCCGAGCGTGGGTGTGGGGACGATCCTAATCGCCCACCTGACCAGACATCCACCTGAACGTGGGCTCTTCTCTGCTATGGTCTGAATATCTGTGTCCTCCAAAAATCCGTTGTTGAAGCCCTGACTCCGCCAATGTGATGGTGTTAGAAGGGGGGCCTTCTACCCTCATGAGGTCATGAGGGCAGAGATTCCATGAATGGGATTAGTGTTCTTAGAAAAGAGACCCCACAAGGCTCCCCGCCTCCCCTTCTCCAGGTGAGGACACAGCGAGAAGACGCGGTCCATGAACCAGAACGGGGGCCCTCACCAGACACCGACTCTCTTGATCTTGGATTTCCAGCCTCCAGAACTGTGAGAACTCAAGCCCCCCAGTCTGTGGCATCTGTTACAGCAGCCCAGATGGACTCCGACTCACCCCTGAGGTTGTCCGTCAGCGTTCCCATCATTCCTGGGTTCAGTCGTGCAGACTCCCCTCCTTGCTTCCTGCCTTACCTCACATCCAGTCCTGCTGGTTTCTCCTTCAGCATCTTTCAGAAACCAGCCACTTCCCACCATCACCACTGCAGCCAGGGGGCGGTGGGGAGGGTGCTGGGAAACCATGGTCTCACACCCTGATTACTAAAATAGCCTCCTCCTGGCTTCCCTGCTTGCACCTCCCTGCCCCGTCAGTCTGTCCCCAGCACAGCAGCTGGGTGGCCCAGTGACCAATCTTGTCACATCCTAGCATCCTGGACTCTGGGGTCCCCCACCTGGCAGACGGAAGCAGTCATCCTGAGGAAGATGAAACTGGGGGAATAACTGTTGTGTTTGCTCTATTGAGAGGAGATTTGAACCATTGAGGGAGAGTTTGGGGCTAGAAGGAGGATAAATACCTAGAAAACTGATCAAGAGGAAAATAGGTGAGGGACTTCCCTGGTGGTCCAGTGGGTAAGACTCCACGTTCCTAACGCAGGGGGCCCAGGTTCCATCCTTGGTTGGGGAGCTAGATCCCACATGCTGCAACTAAGGGTTTGTATGCCGTGACTAAAGATCCCATGTGCTGCAACTAAGACCCTGTGCAGCCTAAATAAATACATAAATATTTTTAAAAAGAGAGAAAAATAGGCAATAGTTAAATACTGGGAGAACAGCAGCAAAGGCAAAGTATCGCGTGGCTCTAGGAGGCTTGGCTCAGACAAGCATTTACAGAATTGCAATAATGTAAACACTTATAATGCAGACATTGACGTTGGTCTAACGAATTTAGGCAGTCTCCCTCTCCCTCTCCCCCGTCCCCCTCTACCTCCCTCTCTCTCCCCACCCTTCTCTCTCTCCCCCCTCCTCTCTCCCTCCCTCTCCCCCCCTCTCCCCTGCTCTCCCTCTCCCCCGCTCTCCCTCTCCCCCTCCCTCCCTCTCTTCCCTCTCCCTCCCTCCTTCTCTCTCCCTCCCTCCCTCTCTCTCCCTATCCCCCTCTCTCCTTCTCTCTCCCCCTCTCCCCACCCCTCCCTCCCTCTCCCTCTCTCTCCATCTCTCCCCCTTTCTCCCTCTCTCCCTCTCTTGGGCAGGGATGGGGGCACAGGAAGGGTGTGGCGTGGAGAGAGACGCTGAGGCTGGGTGTCCATCACAGGAGCAAAGAGCGCCGGGGTGGACACGTGGAGGTAAATATCAAAGGAATTGAAAGCCGTGTCTCTGGTGATTGGGAAGGGAAGGGGGGTTCCTTAAACTGTGTGGCTGGATAACTGTGTGTACCTGTGATAAAGATAAAAGTTAAACTAGACTATAAAGTAAGTTTTAAAGGGGGAGGAGACAGGAAACACCTCAAGGATGTCCACGTGGATGTGGCTCCTCTCCACCTGCAGGCAGCCCCTGCCCATCACTGAGTCTCCTTGGCTGCTCTCTCGCCTCTGGTCCCAAACACTCCAAGGATTCCCAGGGGTTTGCTTTCCACCAGGCACACAATGGGAAAAGGGGCCTGATCAGCAGCCGTGGCAAATCCTTATCATGGCGCCACCACCTCTGCCGAATCACCCAGGACCCCACGGCCTCCCGCAGCTCACGACAGGCAGCTGGGTGTTTGTGCAGGTGCCGACATGTCCCCAGGTGTGTTCCAGGCACCGGAGATGTAAACACAGCCCCTGCCCTCCGCTCACTTATGTGCTCGTGGGGGAGAAGGAAAGGGAATAGACAAGTCATATGCCATTGATGACATTATAGACTGAAGTTTTTGTCCCGCCCCCCCCCCACCAAATTCACCTGTTGAAACCCTTAGCTGCCCCTAATGTGATGGTGTTAAGAAGTGGGGTCTAGTGAGACAATCAGGGTTATATGAGGTGATGAGGGTGGAGCCCCCAGGATGGGATTAGTGCCCTTACGAGAGTCACGAGAGAGCCTGCTCCCCTCTCTGCTCTCCGGCCAGTGAGGACACAGTGAGAGGACGGCTGTCTAAAGGCCAGGCAGTGGGCTCTCATCAGACACATCCAGCCCCCAGACGTGTGAGAAAGAGGCACGTGTCGTTCAAGCTGTCCAAGCCGAGACAGACAAGTGGTCTGGAGGAAGATCAAGCCAGGCCAGGTGATGGGGGCCCTCAGGGGGCTGCACGGAGCCGGTGTCCGAGGCTGGCTCTGACCACAGGAAGTGAGGAGACTGAGGCTCCAAGTGCCTGTCGCTCTGACAAAGTGACAGAGCAGGGTTTGAACCCGGAGCTCTGCTCCCTGCTCCCCGCCTCGTGCCCCTCACCTTTTCATGGCTCTGAGATTCTTGAGCAAACAAGCAGACACGTGTGTCCTTGTGTTTAAGACCAAAACTCTTCCCCACACAAAGCCAGATAGCTCCTTCCGACAAGAATAAATGGTCTCCACGGCGACATCCTCAGAGGTGTTCCCAGCAGTGTTGCTGTTGTAGCCAGGAAACAACCTAAGTGCTGCTCGGTGGGGGCTGAGTTAGGACAGAGGAAATAGCGAGATCACAGGGCCCCACGAAGTACTGTAGTGAAGCTGTATAGAAACACTAGAGGGCTTCCGTGGTGGCACAGTGGTTGAGAGTCCGCCTGCCGATGCAGGGGACACGGGTTCGTGCCCCGGTCCAGGAAGATCCCACATGCCGTGGAGCGGCTGGACCCGTGAGCCATGACCGCTGAGCCTGCGCGTCCGGAGCCTGCGCTCCGCAACGGGAGAGGCCACAGCAGTGAGAGGCCCGCGTACTGCAAAACAAAATAAAATAAAAAAGAAACCAGAATTGCTCATAGCAGTCTACGGTTGAATAGAAGTAGCATAAATAATTTCTTAGATCCTCCCACTGAAACACTGGAACCCAAAGCCACGTGCACTAGGATTTCCCGCTGTGCACTCAGACAAGCTCTGAAGGATGGGACAGCACCCAGGAGGGAGGCACCTGTCCTCTGAAGAGACGGGCTCCTGGCATCACCGCCGCTTTGGTCTCCCATGGCCATGTGTACGGTCAAGAGGGAGCGGCCCTGCGTGCAAAGTGCTGGGGCTGCCTGGCACGGCAGGCCCTAGAGCCAGGAGGCCACAGGAGGTGAGTGCTTCCCTGCTCCTGGGGCATCCGGGGGAGTCCTGCTGTTCCGGACCTCAGCTGCCCTTGGATCTGACCCTGGGAGGAGAGCCGTCCCCGGGAGGGGGTCTGGGGGCGGGGATGGCCTCGGCAGGGCTGTGGGACGCTGGGGTCCACGTGCTCCTGTCTATGAAATGGGCAATGACAGCTCCCATCGCGGTTCCCAGCTTAATCCCACTGGGAAGGTCAAAGAGCCGGGACACTTAAAGCTGTTCATAAATATTAGCTGCGGTCACTGCTGTCGTCATCGGCGTCTTTATCGCCCGCCCCTCAACAGAGAAGAGACCCTGAGCAGGTGCTCGGTCAGCGGAAGTGGAATGAATGGGCTGCTTCTCGCGAAGGCTGGTAAGAGCCTCCCCACCTGACAACTTGCCGAGGCCCCCTGTCCACTCCCAACCCCCAGCCTTTCCCAGGGGAAGCGCTTCCAGCTGGAGCACCCAGGAGCCGCAGGAGACCAGGTAGGAATCTTTCCCCCCACTGATTCTGTTCGCACCTCTAGCTTAATGAGCCCAAGCTGCTGGGGGCGTCTGGGTCACACCTTTTCACTTGATTAAAGCAAAACACAGATGCGCTGGCAGCAGTGTCCTCGCGAGCACGGAGCTTCCCGCCTCACAGGGACGGCTGCTACACGAAGAAGGGGCTCGAGGGCACCGAGTCAGCCCCGGAAGCACTTATGGAGGATGTGCCAGTCAGAGCTGGGGTTAGGGTCAGGCAGCACTCGGGTTCCGCCCTGCCTTTGGCCACCAGCCTCCACGACGGAGGTCCAGCCCCACTGTGCCCGCTTCCTGGTGTCCGTGCCCACGTACAGTCCCATCCCAGCTGAAGAGGGCTGACCTGGGCAGGAATGTGAGTGACTCTGGGCAAGGTCGTGACCAGCACCGAGCTTCCTCCTGCCTCTCGGATAGCTCACCCCGGGGGTAGCCACGTTGTGAGGGCACTCAGGCAGCCCCGGGGAGAGGCCACATGGGAGGAGCTGAGGCCTCCTGCCCACAGCCAGGGGAGGAGCCTCCTTGGAGGCGGGTGGAGCCTTCAGGTGAGACGGGAGCCCTGCCGACACTCCAGCTGCAGCCTCACTTGAGTCCGAGCCAGGGCCGCCAGGCCGAGCCACGTCTGGGTTCGGGACCCACAGAAACTGACATCGTAAGTGTGTTGTTGTAGCTGCTAAGTTTGGAGTGATTTGAACATAGAAACAGAGAGCCAATACCCTGCTTCTGCTAGCTATAGTTGTGTGATAGGCAAATTAATCTCTCTGAGTGTCAGCTTCTCACCCGAGAATAAGAATGCCTACCTCCAATGGATGTTATAAAAATTAAATAAGCTCTTGGCATTGGGCCTGGGATACAGCAAATGCTGAAAAACTAGCTGTCATCATTATTATGAAATATTTACATAAATATATCACAAGATGCGAAGGGCTCAGGAAGACCTCACTTCAAACAGGTGGGTTCAAGGAAGGCTTTGTGGAAAAGTAATGTTTGGCTTGGTCCTTGAAGGAGAAGCAGGATCTGGACCCGAGGAGATGGCGGGAAGGGCAGGAGGGTCCCTGTGGGCAGTTCACGCTCAGCGTAAACTCGGGCAACAGGAGGTGAGACTGTGAAGGCTGGCTGGGGTCAGATTGGGCTGCTGGCATTAAGGGGTCTGGAATTTACATGCTGGGAAGTGAAGCCACCGGTTCTGAGTCAGTGGAAGTGGAATGAATGGGACGGCTTCTCCCGAAGGCAGATAAGAGCACGGTGGCCTCCCCACCTGACAACTTGCCCTGAGGCCCCCTGTCCACAGGAGCGAGAACCCCAGGCACGGCTCCCCAGCACACAATAGCCCTTCGGAAGAGGTGTTGAATGAATTAAATTCTTCCCGACCCCCAAAGCATCCCCTCTTGGATTCTGGCAGGAGCAAATATTAAAGAGGGTGCCTGGGGCTGGAAGGAACGGTTGTCAGGCTGCTGCTGCAACTGATCCTTTTTCTCCCAAACCCAGGATCCAGCTCTGTCTCTGCTGTTTGACAAACGTTTCCACTCGACCTCCCTTCTTCCCTCTGAACCCTGAGTTTGTTCATGTTCCCAATTTCCCCGCGAGCCATGTGGGGAAGAGAGGTGGGTCCCAGACCTCCAGCCCCAGAGGGCAGATCACGATTGGCCTAAACCAGCCACAGGGGTCTCATCCCCTTGCCAGAGATTCTGGCCCAAGGACGTGAGGGCAAGTCTGGGCAGGTTCTCCTCGCGAAGGAAACAAGATGCGTTGGAAGCAGCAGCCCCTCTTTTTTCATGGTGGACGCTGTGTGTGTGTGTGATGTCTGGAATTGCCACGGCCATCTTGTACCATGAGGAGTGCCGTCCTGAGAGTGAGCCAGTGGGATGCCAGGCAGACAGAGCCTGAGTCCAGGGTGATATCCAGAGCCACTGCGCTTACATGTGGTGCCCTCCTGCCTCCAGACTTCTGCTTGGGTGAGCCTAGGATTCTCCTTCCTCTCTGATCATGTTGAGTTTGGGTTTTCACACTGCAGGTGCCAGAGGAAGGTGGGAGTGGGAGGAGGGATAGACTCATGACGAAGCAGTCAGCTAATCAGAGTCTTTGTTGAGCACTGGTTAGGGAGGAAAAGGTGAAGAGGGAGAGCTAGGTCACCACACTCCAGGGGCTTCGCCACACAGCTGGGGTTCAAAACCGGCACCCAAGACCAGAGCAAGTGAGCGAGGAAGGGAGAGTCCTCAGATAGCCAGGACTTGGAAGTGGGGAGGCCCCTGGCTGGGGCAGGTGGACACTGCGTTACACGAGGAGGCAGTGGGGTAAGGGGGCGGGCGTGAGTGTTCCCCCTGGGAGCTTGAACTGGGTCCCCTGCGCCAGCCCACAGTCTACGCCCCAGGGCCCCAGCCCTTCCGGGGTCTGTGAGGTCAGACCCGCTGCATAACGACACTGCAGCCATCTGCCTTTGTCACAAGGTGACCTTTGCACTATGGCCTCAGCCCGGACTGTGCTCACGGCTCACGCTCATGGTCAGAGCAACACGGCTTCCCCGCGGCTGTCCTCAACGAGGCAGCAACGAATACCAGTGGTGTTAAATCCCAACCCCAGAGTAATCGTCTTTCTAATGTCTTCTGTGGCAAAGTGGGAAGTACACATAAGCCACTTGTCTTGCTCTGGGGTTTGATTTTATGTGTCACCCTGACTGGGTTCAGGGAGGCCCAGGTGGCTGGTAGCACATTATTTCCGGGTGTGTCTGTGAAGGTGTTTCTGGAAGAGATTAGCGTTGGAGTCGAGTGAAGATCACCGTCACCAAGGTGGGCGGCCGTCGTCCAATATGCTGGGGGCCCAAATGGACAAAAAGGGGAGGAAGGTCGAATTCTCTCTCTCCTTCAGCTGGACATCCATCTTGCTGCCCCTGGACGTTGGGGCTTCCGGCTCTCAGATGTTGCTTTGGACTGAATCACCCTTGCAGACGGCGCATGGCGGGACTCCTCGGCCTCCGTGGCCACGTTGTTACTTCCCATAACAAATCTCTTCTCACGTATCTATATGTACCCTACTGGTCTGTCTCTCTGGAGCACCCTGACCGAGCACAGGGTGGTCTCAGGGAAGCTTCTCTCGGGACACCTTTTTAATGGGAAAGAATGACACAGATGGCCCGTCGTCACCCAGACTTGGGCATCTGCAGACAGTTCCCTGAAAATGAATGAAGTAAACCTGCCAGTTCAAGAAAAACACCTGACGGTATCTGTGTAAATGGTAGCAGTTTGTCCTGCCATCCCACTCCTGTGCGTGTATCTGGAGAAAACCATACTTCAAAAAGATACACGCGCCCAGCGCGTTCATTGCAGCACTGTTGACAAGACATGGACACAACCTAAGCGCCATTAACAGAGGAACGGATAAAGAAGGTGTGGTGTGCATATATATATATATATATATATACACCGTGGAACATTACTCAGCCATAAAAAAGAATGAAATGATACTACGTGCAGCAACACGGATGGACCTAGAGATTACCACACTGAGTGAAGTGCGTCAGAGAGAGAAAGACAAGTACCATACGATAGCACACGGATGGACCTACAGATTATCACACTGAGTGAAGTGCGTCAGAGAGAGAAAGACAAGTACCATACGATAGCAGTTATATGTGGAATCTAAAAAAATGAGACAAATGAACTTACTTACAAAACAGAAATAGACTCATAAACGTCGAAAACAAACATGGTTACCAAAGGGAAAAGTGGGGGAGGGGTAAATCAGGAGGCTCGGTTTAACACACACACAATACTATGTATGAAATAGACAACCAACGAGTACCTACTGTATAGCACAGGGCACTGTGTTCACTATAGTGTAACATAATGGAAAAGAATTTGAAAAAAATATCTATACAGAGATAGATAGATAGAGGTATGTACATATATATATATATATATGTATGGAGCTGAACCACTGTGCTGCACACCTGACACTAACACAACATTGTAAATCAACTCTACTCCAATTTAAAGAAAAATAATTATTACTGGAAAAAATAAGACATTTACCAGGAAGAAAAAAGGTAACATTTGAACTCATAAGAGAAAATTCTAATTTTGGAAAAATTGTGCTACTTCTTTAATCTTAACAGCTTTCCAACACTTAAGGACATTTCTGAGAGCAGGGATAATATTAATAAATGTGAACTTTTACATAAAAAAGTGTCAATATTTGGATGCATAACTCAATGAACCAATATTTTCCAATGACCCACGTGGGATGTTATGAAATCATTCCTCGGGGAATGATCCACTCAGAGTGCAAAACACACCAGAGGATTTTCATGGAACGGAGTAGAAAAGGGTCACTGATTTGGTGTCAGACTCCACCTTACAGCTAACCTTTAAGAAAATACTACTTGTTGAGTAGTATCAAAGAAAAAAACATCCAACATTCTCTGTTAATAAAATACTCCACACCACATACCTGTGTGAGGCCGAATCTTCTTCACATATTTCAACCAGGACAGTGTATCACAGAGACTGAATGCAGAAGCAGATGTGAGAATCCAGCTGTCTCCTGTTAAGCCAGGCATTACAGAAATGTGCAGAAATGTAAGATAACGCCAACAATGTACAATAGTGAAAAATACATAATAATAAATACAAATATAAAAATATATAACAATAATTTAAAATAAATGTAAAAGTGTCTAGAATTGTTTTTTTAATAATAACAAAGATGATGTTTATTAAGGGCTAGATACTATGTTAAGTGGTTTTTTTTTAAGTTATTACTATATTTTATTAATGAAGCAAAGTGACTAATTTTTCTACAGTTACACATCTAGTAAATGACAGAGTTAGATTTTTTTTGTTAGTTTCTGCTTTATAACAAAGTGAATCAGTTATACATATACATATATCCCCATATCTCCTCCCTCTTGCGTCTCCCTCCCTCCCACCCTCCCTATCCCACCCCTCCTGGCAGTCACAAAGCATCGACCTGATCTCCCTGTGCTATGCGGCTGCTTCCCACTAGCTATCTACCTTACGTTTGGTAGTGTATATATGTGTTTTTGAAAATATAGTTATTTTCATTAAAATGTAATTTATGTTACATTTATTTATGGTGATTTTTAGTAAATTGATAAGTAAAGATTTAACTTTTTAATTTTTAATATAGTATGTATGTATCGATAGCTAGTGCCACATAAAGTAAAGCTTTTTGGGGCCCCTGATGATTTTTAAGGCTGTCAAGGAGCCCAAGACCCCTCAGGAGCCAGCTGGACTTGAGCAGCTCAGTGCAGGCCCTGATCCCAAGCCCAGGTGCAAGGGGCAGGCTGTGCAGAGCCTCGCTGGCCCCCTGTCCTCTGCCTTCTCTCACCTGTGATCCATCAGACGTCTCCCGAAGGCCTCAGCACAGAAAGGCGTGAGCCAGGAGTCCTGGGAAGCCGAAGGACTCCGCTGGCCGGAACGTGGGTGTGCGGGAGCCTGCGAGGTAGGCTTCCAGCCAGTCGGCTCCATCCTCAGTTGTCCTGGAGCCTTTCCTCCTGCAGCGTTGGGCCCCTGAGGACAGGGCACCAAGGCCACAAGCCAGGCCCACAGGTGGGATCGTCCTTAGGTCCTGTCTTTTAACAGGAGATGTCCTATTTCCCCCATTTTGTAGGGAAAATCACCCTGGGCTCAGATCAGAGAGGGTACGCGAGCCGTCAGGGTGCACAGCGCCCAGCCCTTTCTCCAGTAGGGTGTGGAGCCCGGGAACCTGCAGGGACGGAGGTGGCAGGTGGCAGCAAGGTGAGTGGTGCTGGGAGCCTATGGAGGACGGAGCGGGGAGGAAGTGAGGCAGGTGACCCAGACAACGCACGTGGACGCCTGCGGGGGCCTTTCTCCCGCCGTCAATCATGAGCTGAGAGATCGTGCCTGAGGCTGACAGCCGAGGGATTCGTCCACGAGGCCACGGTGCCCCCAGGTCCAGCAAGATCTTGGGTTGCCCAGGGCAGAGCCATGGGGCTGGGGAGCTGGTGTGTCGCTTGGGCTCCAGGCTCGCCCCAGCTCCTCAGAGCAGCTTACTGTCGGGAAAACCAGAGGCCTGGCAAGGTTCTGGACCTGTCCAGGGCCCAGCTCTGCCATAGTCTGAACCCAGCAGCTGGCCCTGGAGGGGTCCTGCTCGGCTCACGTCCGCATCGGCTTGGAGCAGGAGGTCCACTGAGCCCAGCCTCGGCGGCAGGCCCGGCCCCTCCCACCCAGGCCCCGCCCCTAGGCCTGGCCCCGCCCCTCCCCTCAGGGAGCGCAGGCCCTGAGAAAAACAGGTGCGCTCGCCGCGTAGTCCGTTCGGCAGTTCGGCCGCTCCTGCTGGGGCCTGGTCTCCCGTCCCCATCCTGGGGCCTGGACTCGGCCTCCGCTCCTGGTCTCTTCTGCTGTTCTCTGTCGGAATGATATTCGAATTCAGGTCACTTTGGGCTCAACGCCCCACTTCCAGACCCAGGGCAGAGTCCTCAGAAGACAGGGGTCGGCCTCCACCCAGGCATCACCCAGGCAGCCTGGGGCGGGGCAAGGTGGCCTGGGCCCATTCCCAGAAGGCAGAGGCTGGAGGGCCCTCGCTGCACAGGGGCCACTGGCCATGGGCGAGCAGCGTGGGGCTCCACAGCCCGCTCTCCCCTTCCCCCTCTCCCCACGAAGCAGGTTTCCAGGAACTCTTCTCCGATCCTTGCGCTTTTCATTTAAATGCTCCCAGGGCACATCTGCACCGGTAGGAGGGACGTCTGGGTTTAATCAGAATGACAGCTGAGCGGCCTGGGCCCCCTACCCCGGGCGTTCCTGAGTGGGCTCGGTGCCAGCCAGTCTGCAGCACAGCCGTCCTGTCCTCATGCCCCTTCCCGCCACCCCACCGGCCCCTCGGTGCCTGTGTCTCCCGGCCTGCAGAGCAGGAGGTGGGCCCAGGTTCCTCTCCAGGACCCTGTCCT